TACATTCCCTTTTTTCCTCTTCCTCTTACTTTTACTCTTACTCTCACTCTTACTCTTACTCTTACTCTTACTCTTACTATTACTATTACTACTACTACTATTACTATTACTATTACTATTACTACTACCACTATTACTGTTACTATTGCTATTGCTAGAATATTATTGTTAATTAGGTTGCCTGCCATGCGAAAAAGCAGCTTCATGTTATTCTTGACTTTCCAAAAGAAGCAGCATCATTGCGAGGAAGGGGCACGCGGGATGTTTTCGGTGGAGACGCTGCATCCGGACGGCCGCTTTCGACTCTGTTGGGATGCACTGGGCTGCATCTTGGTCCTCGCGGACGCATTCCTTTCGCGCCTTCTCTGAACCAAGCAGTCAGATAGTTCATGCAATTACTCAAGGTTAGTAGGCTTTCGACTTTCCAGGGGCGCTTCGTTTGATAATGGCTCCACACCCCTTGAAAAGTCGCTGCCCCTGCTGTGTCCTGCAGGCCAGTGGCCTTGGCCTGGGACATTCCCATTTCCTCGAGCTTCCTTTTGAGCTCTGCATTTTGGTTTGGGCTGTTTTTTTGGACCTTGGACGTCTTCGTCAACCTCAACACAGCAGTGTATGTACGAGGGAGGTTGGTGCGCGACAGGGCCACAATCATCGTGAGATACTTCGTGACATCATTCCTTTTTGACATATCCCTTGTGGCGCTGGATCTCGCGATTGCAACGGCTGCAGATGCCATTGCAGACCTGGCAGCGTTGCGCTTTGCCCGAATCATTCGGATTTTTCGCTTGCTGCGGCTGCTGAAGATAATGCGCCTCCAGGCAATTGTGCAGGAGCTCGCTGCTTCCACAGGCCGTCAGTGGCTGATGCTCGTCATTGCTATCATCAACACGACCTTCGTTCTGCTTGTGCTTGCCCACATGATGACCTGCATTTGGGTGTGGCTAGCTCGTGCCACGCAGTCAGCAGGTGGAACAAGTTGGCTTGACATCGCCGAGGCCAACGCTCTGTCTATTCCTTTGCAGTACTTGCACTCTCTGCGCTACGTGATGAACTCGCCATCACCGCCGGCAATTGCGCCAGAAAGTGGTCAGGAGCGGGTTTTCGACGTAATGCTCTATTGGTTTCTAGTCTGCAATGGCAAAGTCACGTAGCCTCGTGTGCCCCGATTGAAAGCACACCCGGCGCCCCTTCACGCGTCTTCTGCACGAGGTTTTCCATTTTGGTGATGGGCACAACCATATCGACAATCGCCGGCTCCCTGCACGATCTCCGTGCAATGAATGAGTCTCGATCCAGGCAGCGTCGTGAGGTGCGACTCTACTTGACAGGCCATTTGGACATACAACGGCAAAGGGGCTCTGCTCACTGAAAAGCAATGTATCCAGAAGTTCTTGAATTTTAGCACATGATTTAACAGTTCTCCTTAGCTACCTTGTTCAACATACCCTTGGGGCAATGAAATCGGGATTCAACATGTCTGGTGCATTAGGGGAGCAGAATTGTTCAAAATCTTGAAACTAAAAGGTAGCCACAGGCCCTTAGCCACAATTAAATCACAATTTAAGTGTGCGGATCTCCTCCGTACCCAATGATCTATATGGAATGTTTCTAGAGTCCCAGAGGCCCTAGCCACGATTAAATCGCGATTCAATATGTGATCTGAGGCGCGCTCATTTAGGATAATCCTAGACTCTTAAAGGCTTTAGCCACAATTAGTCCGCCCTTCACTCATATAGGATATTCCTAGTCCCAGGGGCCCTATAGCCACAATTAAATCACGTTTCAATGGACCAGATGAGGTGCGCTCGTAGAACGGATCTAATCCGTGCCCTACCATATGTATATGTATATAATGGCCTTTCCTAGAGTCCCAGAGGCCCTAGCCACAATTAAATCGTGATGTAATTGTGCGGATTTTGCGAGTCACTGCAAGACGAAGCCCGCGAGGATTCCACAGTCCCAGAATCCGTAAACGTCTTAGGCATCTTACTCTTCAATTAAATCGTGATGTAATTCCCGCCTAGACTATACCTCGGCGAAACTTATTGGACATTTACAATTAAACCACGACTTAATTGTTTGGACTCTCGCCTTACTCTCGGGCACAATTAAATCATGATGTTGTGCCTGTGCGGCACATGGGGAAGGGGCTGCACGACGTACTTGAAGAATTGAATCAGGATTTAATTGTTCTGGGTGTAGGGGGTTGCCAAGATGCCGGGCCCGGGCAACTAACTCAGAAGCTATAACTCTTAGATCGACTGCCTTCCTCCCCTTGGCCATGCTTTTGTAAAGGGGCTATTCAAAAAGTCGAGGAGTTTTTTCTCAAGACCTTTGGACCTTTGGGACCTTTGGGACCTCTCATTAGATGCACCAGACTCTTGGAATGATATCAGGGACATTTAGGTCCATATTAAGTTGACCCAAAACGTGGATCAATGATTCTGAGTGCCTCCCTGCTTGACAGGCCAGAACGCATCCTATGAGCTCGTATCCAGGATCATGAAGTTCTTGGCTCTTGATTAGATTGCTTTAGTTTCCTTAAGGGTATTCAGAACTGTCTTAACGTTCCCGTGCTTATTAGGTTCCCCTTGTTTTTTAGCGGAGGTTGCTGTGGATTAAGCTTCATTCAGAAAAAGATCGTGCCTTGAAGACAATGTGATCCTGGTCTGGCATCACGTTCGGGATGATGTTAGCGGTCGTCTTAAGGTCTGCATGTGGAGCTTCATCAGTGTGGTCTTGACAGCTGTAGCGGGTATGCAAGGAAACGGCACGTTGGGTGTGTGGTAAGTCTTATCAGGGGTGTCCAAGGCAACGTGGTACGAGAAGGTAGATAGTGTTCTGGCCGCTTTAGTGCTATAGACAGCATTGCACAAGTGGCTTTGTAGGAGCTACATTGGGAATCTTTCAATGCCAGGTCGGCGTCAGTAATCTTCTCCAGTGGAAATAGCAACTGACAGGCAGCTACAACAGGCTTTGAAAACAGTGTGCGCGCGCTTTTTAGGGCATCTAACCTAAGGGTTCAGACAATCGCAGCTAATCCACCAATCCTCCAGTCTCTGGCGAATTGAGTATACACAGGCCCTTGAATATCGCGCATAGCACGACGCATCCGGGAAATAGGGTCTTTCAGGCCAAAGGTGGTGTTTGCGCTAAACGGTGAGGTTTGTGGACTACAAGCTGGAGAGAACCCTGACAGTACAGCTTGACTCCGACTTGGTATCGCCAACTCTGCAAGCCGAGCTTTTTGTTTCCCAACATTCTGGCTACTTGTGCAATATTCCGATTTTTGCTGTTGCTGCAGACGTGTATCCTGACATCTTTGCCAAGATCTGTGCGTCTTTGCAGAAGCAGGCCTATGAGAAAGGTGAGAGCGTGTTTATGGTTGGTGACTTGGCGGACCGCCTCCACATCACCGCTGCTGGGGTCTTTGAATTCGACGAGTTGCCTGCGAAGTCTAGCCCAGAAAGGATCCAAGGAGATGAGGCCCATTGGTTCTCCGAAATTGGGCTCTATGCTGAGTTTGTGCTGCACGCCGCAACTTTGAGAGCCAGGAACATTGCAGAAGTTTTCACGCTCACAGGCGATGACCTGCTGTCTTGTGTGCACGGCTCACCCAGCTGCACCACTATGTTCTATGAGTATGCCAAAGACTTCTTGGCGATGCAACGAAGCACTCATGATCAGCATCATAACCAAGTGGCATATGCGCGCCAGTGCTGCGACAAGAACACGCATTACCGAAACCTGCGACCTGATGAGAAGAAGATGTTCCATAACATTGATATTCTGGCCAGCGTTAAAGCAAAACAGGAGACGGAAGCGGCCTCGTGCCCAGTGGAATCCTTGGCTGGTCTGCTGGTCAGTGTGGCCGGCCAGCATGCGGAGTGGGATGCCTCAAGAGTTGGGAAACAGCTACAAAGCCTACTGCCCGAGCTACATTCTCAAGTGGGTTCATATGCTGTCTTCGAGGAATCAGCTGCTCGAGAGCAGGCCGAATCTGCATGTGTGAGCACAGTCGCCCTGCTCAGCAATCGCTATGACATCTACACTGAGCAGCAGCTTAACGGCGACAAGCTCACTGCGCTCCCCGCACCAATCTAAGAAGCTTTGTCCAGCATCTGTGCTTGCCTAGATGGGCTAGATGGCTATCTTTCCTCTGATCTCTAATCTTTCTTTTTGCCTTTACATATCGCATCCCTAACTATGCCAGTGAGTAGGGTAGCGAGCTCACTCCTCGAAATTTCGGGCTCTTCGCAGCCACCTGAGAACCGATTAACTTGAGATTTTCTCCAAGACTAAGGTCTCAGTGGGAGCAGCTGCAAGCTCTTGTCAGGTGGTCAGCGCCGTCGGGCAATGAGAAGTTTGCAGCGCTTGTCCTTTTGGCCATCAGAGCCTTGGGAAAATCCAGGGCTGTTCGCCAGCAGGCCGGCGAGGCAGATCCTGACCGAGCTATTTTGCATCTCATGGACTTGGCAACGCAGGTAGTGCCGTCTGTCGCAAGCTTGGAACCACCTATGCTTGCCCTCGTTGAAGAGGCCCTCCTCGCCCAGGAAATTTTCAAGCTTGCTCAGATGATGCAGGGAGAGAACGTTCCTGGGAACATTGCCGATTTGAGAGACTTCTTCGCAGACCGCAGCATGGACACCTTCCGTTTCTACATTTTTTACTTGTTGGGCTTCATCAGTGGAATCTCAGGAGGCCGCGGGTCCAAGTTCATGGAGGCCAAGAATGCGGATGCTGCGATCTCGGCGATCCACATGCTGAAGCACTTGCTCGAAAAATCCCCTGCGGCCATCTATTGGAATTATCTTATTTCTCGTGCTGCTCCGTTTGGGCTGCAACCCCGGACGGCAGAAGAACTGGCTCTAGTGCGCCTTGCATGTTTGAGCCGCATCCGCAGTGCTGCTGAGCTACATGTCCTGCAACATGCTTGGCAAGCTTGCAGCCCCACAGAAAGATCGCTTCTGGTGGACCACTTCCTCATGGATGGGATTCGAGATCGTGCGTTCGTCCTCCAGTTCTTGCCGGACTGCATCTCCAACGCTCGCTGGAACCCAGTGGTGGGTCTGACTGTGCTCTTGCAAGTGCTGGTGGACCTGATCAGCAATCTCATTCCTGCCGTCAGTAACATGCCAAAGCTGAATGGAAGGAAGATAGTCAGAGTGGACCTGTCAGATCTCAGCGCTTTCGCTGCTGCAGTGCGAAATCGGTTCATCTTCCGCTCCTGCATCTCTCGATGTAAGCTTTCCTCCTCAAAGGCAACCGTCATCATCCAGTTGTCTGATGACAATTGGACACGAGCAAATCAGGAGGAAACCGATTTCTCCAACCTGGCTTACGCTGTGAGAGACCTTTTGGTGCAAAAGCGCTTGGAAGGCAGCCGCGTGTCTGCGGAAGCTTTCAGTACAGAAAGGGTATGACGCGCACACACACACAAAAGAATAGCGTCTTTTTTGCCAAGCTGGATTCTATTGATTGTAGCATGGGCCACATGAGAGGTTCTGACCTTCGTCCGGTCAACACCAGTGTCCAACATGCATGCAATCTCGAGAGTCCGTCGGTCGCAGAGGGCGGGCGGATTCCATATGGAAACGTCTCACATAGCGTGCATTCGTCAAATTCGAAAATTCAAAGTAGCACAGATCTGGCTGGGGCACTGCGATCATCTAGCCATTGTCTTGTTCAACCAGGCTGTAGAGGGCTTACAGTAAGCTGATCGAGATCAGTGCTAGTTGACCAAAAGTTGTTTCAACGCGGAGTTGCGGCGACGAGCACCTGACTGAGGCTGCGGTCTCAGGCTTTTAAAGCCCATTCCGCTAGTCTATTGAGTCTGTTGCTTAGGCTCGTGCTTAGGCTTCAGCATTTGAAAGCCCTTGACGGTCCTGAATGTGGCGCTGTTTGGGCATTGTGTACAGCTTCATCTGTGTTTCTACAAAGCGGGAGCCTTATCTCTCAAGCGATCAGGCTAACCTGTCGTGCTCCGGAGTCAGCAAACACCGTGCCCATGGTACCCGGCAGGTACATGCCCAAGCCATGACCCAACCCATGACCTGAAGTCACGGGATGTTTGTGTGTGCAAGTCAGAAATCCGCACTGAGCCTTGACCCTGGATATCCCTGGATGACCGCGCTCACGGTTGCATGAGGCAGCATTGGGTGGCTTTGGGGCTGGTGCCCGGCAACCAAGGGCACCTCCGCAGCAACGTAAGATATGTGCCCACTAGGCCACTAGGTTGCGGGCCTTTTGCAGGATTTGATGGAGACCTGGGTTTGACAATTGCCGCACTGCATTATGAAGGGTGTGTCTCTTGATCCCTTTTGTCTTTTGGCAATCCGAGCAGCAAACAGGCTTGTGTCTCGGGCACAGTCTGGCTGCGCAAATGAAGGCAAGAGTCTCTGTAGTGCATGCAGCAGAGCACGCGACATACCAAGCCGACTTTAACGATGAGACCTGCCAAGACAAACACGACGTCAAGGATTGATCAAGGGTGCCTCCTGCGGTGATGCTAGCGTGTGTTGTTCACAGCCAAGGGTTCCAACAGCTATGCTGTCGGCGGCCGAGTGCCAGCGGCGCGAGCCTCGGACGAGGACTCAGACCCTGAAATCGGCTGCATCTGCGGCTATACATGTGGCACCGAGAAGGCGCGCCAAGTTGCATTTGAGGTTTCTGTTGATGGAAGCACGTGTAGGCAGACCTTAGTGACAGCACGTTTGCTTCTACAAGCTTCATCCACGTTGGCTCATCCATGCGGAGGCTTTGGCCAGGCATTTTGACCGTTTCCCTGGCGATCCAACACATGCCCGGAAGTGAGAAGCCTCATGGCCTCGTGGGCTTCCCGACGCTTTACTTTCAAGCACCACGCGGTAGATGCGTAAACTCTTCAATGCTCGTACGTAGCTCAATAGGTGTGCTTTACCTTTGAGCATTTGAGCCAACCCAAACTGCAGCAAACTGTTCCAACCTACAGACGTCTCACCTTCTAGCTTGGCCTCCACACGCAGGGGTCCGTGTGCGATGAACGGAGATATTGCAGCCTCTGCACGGGATGCTGCTGCAGCAATCTCTTACAAACAGCTCTTGCAGCACTCGCAGCACCACTTGGCCACTTGGGGATCTCTCGGCTTCTGTGTCGCTGGCCAGGAGGAAGCCTTGGGGGAAGCTCTTGTTGAGGAGCTGGAGGGCTCGAGATCAAGAATAGCAGCCAAGTCGGGTAGGGTGTGGCCTTTCCTGGCTCAGAAACTGGTATGTGCAGCTGCGAGAACCAAAGAAAGCCCATGTGGTTGTGTGCTCGCGCTGTGGCCTTCTACCTCAGCTGGTAGCATCATTGCGAGTTAGGTAATTAGAGAGGGGCACCAAGAGGACGCACGCCCAATCCCTCTGCGCCGCACATGGAATAAGTCCAGACGCAAACATAATCGCCACATCCAGGCCCATGCAAACTGCATCGCAGACTCTGTGGCATGTTGGCATACGTTTGCCTGCTGTGCAGCCGGCTACTTCAGGTGATGACGTGATGATGGCTTCCCGACCATATGCTGGCTGGCATACCGTTCCGGACCTGCCTGTCCCCTGGCAGAGCAATCCAAATCCGCACATTTGTGGCAACCAAAGCAAAACTTAGCCATATCCCTACGTTTTGAAAACGTGTCTTCTGCTGCAGAGCGAAAAATCACGAGCGCCAGTCTCAGTTTCTGAAGGCCTTCGATGCTGTTGGCGATGCCAGCAGCGCTTTGCTCTGGTGCTACCAGGCCGAAAAGGGTAGCACTCGGGGACTTGCTAAGAATTCGTAATTAGGTTTCCGTTCCTTCAATTCAACTACCCGTATGTTCATGGCGGGATATGGCAGACTCTTTTTACAAAGCCCCCCCTCACCCCCTCCCCAAACAACTAGACGATTGAGTAGTTCTATAGCATTCTATACAACAGGGGGCCCCCCAACCAAGTTTGGGAAAAGTAGTTTGTGTGTGCTGGGTTCCAAAGATTCCAAAGACAGGACTCTTGTTCTGGGCGCTTGGGCTCAGAGCTCTTCGGTTCAGTCTCACTCCAATTAAAGTTGAGTTTCAATCATAGATTGCGGCCCAGGCCTAGCATCCAACAGATTCTTCCGTACCCTCTTTCAAGGACCATTGTTCCATTCTGTTGGGCCAGGTATACTACCCCTCAGCAGGGATGATTCGCCAGGCTTTTCGAATAAGCCGTTCAATAAGAAATCGACAGTTTATAGAAGGAGGAAATCCGGAATCCGGACAGGAACTGGTTTCTGGATAAAGGGCTTAACTTTTCATAGATTTTCTGTCTCTGAAGTTTACTCTTTTCCGTACCCTCTTTATTATTCCGCATGCGAAAGCTCTAGTCCGACCCTCCTGACTGATTTCCTATCACCCATGCAGGAAGTTGCTCCGAACACAAGTTGGGTTTCAAGTTTGTCCTAGACTCTCTGCACCAGAAGTATCCCTTCACGTTTAGCGCCGTCGCCAGATAGATAGCTGCATAGATGTGCAGACCCAACAGCCTTGGCAGCTCGCATTCCGCACGCCTACTTGCGACTTACTAGCACCCACGCATGCTCTCATTCTATGCAGCTCGGATTCGCAAGAAGAAGGATGCTCTCGATCGTGAACGCAATGGGCTTCCTCCTCGTCCTCAAGCTTCTTGGTCCAAAAGAGAGTCTGAATGGATCGGTAGTAGGAACCGCGGGGAAGCGAGCCTTTAAAGGAGTGCGTGTAGGATGCAAGTGCACGGCCGAGCTGTGCACATCTATGCAGAACAGCCTTTCACGCTGGGGAGACATTGGGTTGTCATGATTGGGGACGATCCAGCTTGTTGAATAGATTTAGACGGATTGACGGAACCGATGCAAGGAGATGTTCTGACGATCCTTTGGCTCTGACCCCAATAAATGCCAGCATTTGCATCGCTGAGATGGATCCCTGCCTCGGGCCCTGGGGCCTGCTTGCTTAGCTAAAGATGCTAACTGGCCGATATTTCCTCTCAGCCCTTCATGGTTTGCGAGATTTATTCTCCTTTTCTTGGCGAGCATCCCCAGATTCCTCCGTGGAGTTTTGCCGTGCGCAGCTGCTGGAGAATCATGGCTGCTGCCTGGATGAGACATGCGATCCGTCAGTGGTGCAACAGAGAATCAGGCGACCTGGAACGTCCTGGCAGTGCATCGCTGCTGAGGGCTGTGTCTCAGAGCCAGGCGTTCGAGGGGACGATCTGCTGTCCATTCCTGCAGGTGCTGCTTGCGATTGCCGGATCCTTTTCCTTCATGGAGGCAGTTGGTATTTTGGCTCGCCAAACAGCACTGGGTATCATGTGTTGGCATCCAAACTGGCGGCCAGAACGGGCTGTGTCGTAATGGTGCCAGACTTCGCATTGTTGCCTGTTGGCAACTTCAACTCCATGCTCCAGGCTTCTGTGGAGGCTCTTCAGTGGCTTGCCACGCACGTTCTGGAAAAGTGCAAGGCGGAACCTCCCGTGAGGCTGTACGTTGCTTAGAGGAGTTACATGGGGCAATAATTGCAGGGCGCACCCGGAAATGCGAGCCCTTTTCTCTAAGACCTCTACTGTCTTGGCAATACCTCTCTTTGTGAGGTTGGCGGGGACTCCAGTGGTGCCACCACGGCTCTCAGCCTGGTATTTCGCTTGGGGCAGCAGCCGGACCTGATTCCAAAGGGCAGTCAACTTGTCGCAGGCTTCATGTGGAGTCCGTGGACCAACCTGTCCTTCGGTTCCAAGAAGTAAGCTTGAAGCTTGCTGCCACTTTTGAAAGATTAGCAGCTGAACTGAGGATGTGTGATACACCTGATTATGTCACCAATGCCTACTCCACGATCTTCAACGCCAACTCATCAGCTGGCAAGTCGTCAGATTATCGGGGAGACATATTGTTCAAGAGCCCGCCGGCCATGAACATGGCTGAGTTCCGAAATGTGGCGTTGCAGTACGTGGGCGGGCAGCGGGATTTGCTGGTGGACCCAGTTGCCTCACCATTTCACGCGGGTGCCAGCATCCTAGCGATGGTACCACCTTTGTACTTCCTTGTAGGCTCGGAAGAGACCCTACTGGGAGACAGTGTCATCCTGGCCCAGAAAGCTGCAGCATATGGTGCGTCCATTGTTGTTGATGTCTATGACAACATGTGGCATGATTTCCCGATGTACTCTGAAGGCTGCGGTTCCGGCAGCAAGCTTTGGCTTGGAAACAAAGCCTGGGAAAATACAGCAGAGTTCATTCAACTTGCGCAGGGAGCACAAGGTTCAAACGGGTGGCCTCTCCTTCGATACGTTTATGACGAGTCCCCGAAGGGGAGGGACGCATGGTTTGCACCACGGCCGCCACTCAGGCTCCCACGCGGTAGTCAGACTCCCGAGCCTGTCTCAGGAACTTCAAGTTCCTTGAGTCTTTCATCCTTCCTTTGGGGCCTTGGTGCTGGCGCGGCGCTCGCAAGTTGCACTTATGCTGGTATGAACTTTGTAATCAATAGGCAGCAACAGCTTCAACAAAGCCAGCGGGCCGTGCCACTTAGAGTTGAGATGACGTTCAGGCACGACTACAACCAGCAGTGAAGGCAAGTTCTTTATTTTGCAGGTTTTCCATCAGCTACCTGTATCAGAGCCATCCGATTTTCACTTCTTGGCATGCCTGCGCTGTGTAGAGCGGAGCATGCTGCTTCATGAGTGCTGGGCATTCCATCTGAGTGATTGGACAATAAAACCTACCTACAGGTTCCCCTTGAAGCAGACTCAGGCTAACTGACTGCTGAACATGCCAGTACGCATAGTACTATTGTAGTGGCCGGTGTGATTCTAAGAAGATGAGATACTGTTGTCCAATCGGGAGTGATCCGTTGGCGGGGCTGACTCAACCCTGTTCAACGGAACTATTCGGATTCAACGCTTTGCTACAGGGTTGCACTGAAGATGGAAGGGCTGTAGCTGGCACCATGCGCGAATGCGGCTCAGGCTCAGCTGCGCTTGAAAAGCAGCTGGTCCCCGCCACATGAGGCTGGCGATGGGAGGCCGGACTTTTTACGCAAAAGCAATGGGTTCTCACAGCAGCGCCGCATCTAACAGTAACACTGCAGTTTTTTTGAATGAGTTCTTGCAATCTATGTAAGCGACTCATCCTGTGAGGGGTTCTTGAAGAGGTCTACTTTGGAGAGACGCCCAGATCTCAAGTGGGATGCTACTGCATCTTGGTTGAAAGGTCCGCTTCAGTCCTGCATCTGAGTAAGCGGAAGCTCTTCGTGAGACTTTCTCTCGTTGCAGCCGTCCTCACGCCAAGCTGGGATGTACAGGCAACCTGTGTAGGATTGAACTCGTATCGGGTTTCATTTCTCATGAATGTCTGGTGTAGCCTTCTGCCATGAAAATGAAGAGATTACAGAATTCTATCAATAAGAATATCAAGGATGATGCTCCATAAAAGCGAGTAGTGGGGTTGGGGGTAATTTCAAGGCACCTTCACAGCGACCCCGTGGAAGCCTTGCTGCGGAAGCGCTGTCAGGGCAGGCATGGTCTGGGCAGGAAATGCAAAATAACGAGTTCTGCCAGATTTCTCTAACGCTTCTACTTCTTGCTGCTGCTGCTGATGCTGTAATCCAAAACGAGTTCGTATTGTGTCTGCTGTGAAACTATTGCCGCGACAGCAACGGACCAAAAACGATAAAACAACAAGGAAAAGCATCAGCGACAACACAGCAACCTGCAACGACAGTTGCGACCGCGGCGACGACCATGAGGGTGCCCCTCATAAATGCCAACAAACCTGCGACATCTTAATAGTCTTCCCAAAGCATTGGCAAGTGACTTCCATACCAGGATTTGAGCATAGAAAGTATTTGAGTAGGAAGCTCAATTTCGCACAAGCCCGGCAAGTTGCTGTGGTGCATGGTCACTCATCATGCGCCAGAGTCGGCGAGGCTGAGAAGCCAAAAGATAGCAACTCAAGAATCGAGCAGAGCCTGCGAAGCACCCGCGGTGTCCGGGTAGAGGGTGGAGATATGGACACACCGGACACCAACACGACTTTCTACACCTCCCCCTGCAACTGCAACAAGAGCTCACACAGGCTGTCCGGCTTAAAAGATGTCTTGTACCACACGGAACATGTCGCGAAGCACACCGCCAAAACGCAGGATTCTCGAAAAGTCTCTGATGCCATCAGTGGTGATGATCGTCTTGTTCGCGTTCCTCCCGCACGATGCGGAATCGGAAGAATTCGTGCCCAGACATGCTGCACAAGCTCGAAGCGTCTGCAGAGCAAAGCGCGGGAGCAGCATCAACGCCTGCAGCTATCAGCAGCACAATGCAGCACAAAAAGCTGGTCGGTACGGTTTCCAGTGCTAAATACGGCACACGGTACGCATGTCTGGCTGAAACTGCGCAGATGGAGTTGCTCTCCCGTTCCCCTGTCTCCCATTTTGAACGTGGTGCTTGCTTGGGTCCCAGCCTGGCTAAGTCCTTGGGGTTATTTGGGTGGGTATCAAAATTATGGTCCCTTTTGAGTTCCTTAGTATAATACAGCACTTATTTTTTAGGGGACCCAAAAAGGGACCATAATTTTGACTCATTTTGACAGCCCCCCATATAAAGATAATGGAAAAGAAAATGGAAACTAATATAGTACCTAGGGTTTATATAGGGATAATGGAAAAGAAGATGGAAACCACTATTCTACGCTGTTTTCTTAGGAACTTCAGAGGATGCACGTCTTGGGGAAGACTTTGGTGTGGAAATTTCCTGTGTCTTGGGCATGGCCAGTTTGTCTATACGCAAGGTGTGGTGAATTGGGGCTCATGGTACTGGAAAAACCTCAACGCATGCATCGTTAAAGTGCGTACGCGAAGATCGATGTCGAAAAGCTCCCTCTTCTTCAGAGCAGCTCCTGCAGAGCTTCGAATTTTTTTCCGGAGTGGGACCTGGAGAACCCGAAAATTCCACCACAACACCGTTTTAGCTATTTTGCTCGTTTGGAACAAACAATACATACTGTGAAGCGTGGAAGTTGCTTGGTTGTAGTTGCCGCAACAGCAACATCCGAAGACTCGTAGTGACTTGACTAAACCTACGTGGTATTTTGTGGTGGTGGTGGTGGTGCTGGTGCGCGGCGGTGGCGGCGGCGGTAGCGGTGGTTGCTCGGCAGTGGTCGTGGCGTGGTGTTGCTGGCGCAGTCCTGACTGAGCCCTGGTGTACGTCTTGAATCGAATTTGCATAGCACTTTCCGTTTGTGTTTCTTATGCGTGGGACGATGGCCATGCCATAAACATTTTCAGGTCACCTCCCTCATCTGTGGAAGCTTTCGACCTCACGTGTTGTAGCTAGCATGAGTTGCTCTGACTGACTTTTTTGCAGGGGCTAAGCCGGTTGCAGCTTCGCACCACGGACCTGCGTGTCAAGCGTTCGTAGCATGATTCCCTGTGAGTGTTTGCTCGGTCAGGCGCGTTGCGCACCACCTCCCCCCATGTGGAAGGCGCAGTCCCTTCTAAACGGTGACAGTGTCCAAAGCTTTCTGACCAAGCACCTTTGCAGACTTTCAGACGTTGATGCACCAGCTTTTTGTGCCCTTTGCTGAACCAAAGCCCAGGCAAGACCAGCTATTAGCAGAGCTCCGCGAGATGCGCAGCCAAATGACTCGTCGCGATGCAGACTTCGAGGTGCAGATAGTGGCCAGTTATGGACAACCTTGACTTTGACACACAGTATATTGGGGTTATACTATAATGGGATAATGGAAAATAAAATGGAAACTACTATAATGGAGAATCCAATGGAAAATAAAATGGAAAATGAAATGGAAACTAGGATTATATAGGGTTTGTAGGGATTAGTGTTTCCCAAAATTAGGGGTACCATTTTGGGGGTCCCCATAATAAGGACTATAAGTTTCAGGAATATAACGTCTGATCTTGACTTCAAGGCCTTCCGTCTGGAGGTTGAAGACTTGCTCCGACGTGGCACGAGCGGCACGGGCGGCCTTCAAGACTGGCAGACAATGCCCCTCGTCATATTCCCCCAGTTTCCATTTCATTTTCCAATTTATTTTCCATTTGATTCTCCATTATAGTAGTTTCCATTCTATTTTCCATTATCCCATTATAACCCCCAAATGTAACCCCAATATACTTGACGGATACAGCTGCGGACTCTGTACGCTGCATGCTCATGTAGGCGTCGCCTTTGGAACACCACGTGCTGATGCTCCAGTCTATTCAGCCTGTGCGGGTTCTGTCCATTGTTGGGTGCCCATTTTTTCTGGAGGTTGCATTGTTTGGCTTCAAGCATGTGTGCAACATTGTGGAGCGGAAGGTGGTAGTTCTGCACACGAGACTGTAGGTAATGGCAGTTGGAGTGATTCCGCACTTGCAATCCATAAGGTCCAGCCAACGAGTTAACTTGCTGGGTAGGTATTTGTAGGATGCAGCATGAGTGCTTTGAAAAAAGAGCTCCAGTCCGACAACAATGCTTACTTGCCAAACTCTTTTCAGGTAAAGGGCTTTGCGCATGCGAGTCTGCAATCGTCTTTGCGCCAGGGTTTCCTGCAAGGAAGGGTCAACAGAACTGAACTGAGCCTGAAAAACCGCACATGCCAGTACTATCTTGACATTGCTGCGTGGGCCCCTTAGTTCCCTCAAAGTCCCATCGCTGACCAGGTCAACGGTTACAGCGGACGCCAGGTCTCCCCTGGAGACGCCCGTTGCTCGCACGAGGTTTGGGATGAGCGGTTCAGCATCTTGGTGGTGAACTGTAGGCACGGTAGGCTTCCCACTCATGCATGAGCAGGATCCGGGTATCTATGGCACACCCCGCACGCTGAGATGAAGTATTTGGAGCCGAGGGCCGCCCTGCAACCGTCAGCCCTGTCCAAGAGCAGGCCTCGCAGTCTGTTTCAGCCAGGACCTCAGCCAGGAACGTGCCGAAGTTACAGAAGCAGGGAGCCAATAGTATCCGCTGGAAGGGTGTGCGTGGATCAAGAGGCTTTAAATGTGAACTCACGTGAACATGCAAAGTTGGCAGTGGGGTGATGGTAGGGCTGGTAGGGTTCTCTTGCATCGGCCCGGTTTCATTTATGCATCAAAAACGTTGGCGTCTGCCACATCGGAAACTCTTTGCGGCCTTTTCCAACACAGCGTCAGCTTGGGGATTTGCATCCCGGGGATGTATACTTCGCCCAATGATGTGCATTTTGGTTGACGCAGCGTCCACATGGGGAGATGCATATTCTCACCGACTGAGGTGTGACAACCCCGCCTCTTGTAGCTCCTTCTGGCTCACTACTCAGGCCGAGCGAAGTGGAAGCAGGAGCAAAAGCCAAAAAAGCTCACCAGCCATGGTCTCGGATTGTGGCACAGTATTGCTCCTCTGGTTTTCCTAAAATCTGAGATGGTTCCGGACTTGATCCCTCTGTGTCAGGTTGACAACTTTCAAGTCTCCGGCAAGTACGCTGTGTGCTGAGGATGATTCAAGGCTGGGCAAGTTGTTTCCATGTTTGCACAAACGAGCACTAGGTTCCTGGAAAGCATGAGCCATTCGGGGCAAGCAAGAATCTAGGCCTTCGACTCAGATTACAGGGGAAGCTATTCCGGCGCAGTAGTGCCGGTAGTGTGTGAAGGAAGCAGACAATTTCATCCGCTCAGGGAGCGACTTGCACCAGGCCATGTCCCCAGCAGGTGGGCCTCTGGCAAAATCCTTGTCGCACAAGTCTTGAGTCGATCACGTTAAGTTTCAAGTCCATGTCTTGGCCGGTCAGGTGCAGAGGACATCTCATGCTGGACGGAGCCATGTTGGGAGACATGGCTTGCTTTGGGTTTGCAACAAGTGTCCGGTTTCATAGGTCCAGCTTTCAGTTTGCTTTGAGCTTTGCAGCAGATGCATCTTGCAGTCTGCATGCCCAGAGTTTCACACTCGAACCAGCCCCTTTGGGCGTGAAGCGGATGGGCCGTTGAAGTTGTTTGCGCTGCCACCTTGGCACTGAGGATGGTGCGCAACCCACACGCCCAAAAGCGAAAACATCGCGTGCGGCCAGAGCATGGCGCCTTGCATGCATTCTTTGGCAATTAATGATTGCCCCAAAATGCGAACTGCTACCTTGATCCAGAAGGATGGATCCCTGCTGACGCCTTAGGTACTGCTGCTAATGTGCTGACCTTCGGAGAGAGAGAGCAGTCCACGATTCCGTGGGCGTTGCCAAGCACAAATGCCAGTGTCCTCGCAGCTAGACGCATTTCACCACTGCTCGGCGTCCTTGGAGAACTTCCAAGAGACCTGTGCACCTGCTGGCGTGTAAGGAGGAACGTTTCTGCGCCATCTGGGTACTCTGGATTGTACATATTGCAGGAGTGGAGTAGTAGAGCAGCCCTGGCAGCAGAGGAGGAGGAACTGGACCAGGTTTGTTGCCTCGCGGGCGTGGAGGTTGCAAAAGCCTACCGTTCAGTCAGCCTACTCGAGTTTGTAGAATGGAGCTGGCACCAGCCCAAAACATGAAACTCAGAGCCATGAGGAGTTCATCCGCGCTGACTTCCAGGATCAGGTCCGCGTGGTGCTCAAGAAGGCACTACACGGGCTGCAAAGCGGCTGCGCCTGCAGTGCAGGTCAGTGTAGAGGTCTTCGCTTTCATGATCTTTAGTGTCTTGCGACACGCACACAGAGTCAGGTAAAGGATGTGCTGCGTCAAATCATGCTTGTTCAATATCCACTTTGGTTGAGCCCGCAGCAAGTTGAGCAGGCACTTCCGCGCAGGACACCTAGTAGACGGATGATGCACATCCCCTCTGTCACTTGAAGCGCCAGGCTATTCAGGGTGAGGAGACCGCTAGCTTCAAGTTCGTCCTTGTCAGCAAGGCGACGCTGCTTCCCAGTACTGACCTAAACTGACCATCACTGCGATAGCCCTTACGGCCTAGCAACTTTCTGGCCAATTTGTGAGTGCGTCTGTCGTGTGGAGTCGGTCAAGCTTTTAAGCAACCGCCTGCGAGCATCACAGTGTAACTAGGAGCCATCCTAGCATGTGCAATCTCCCTTGCAGTTTGGGGAACACCTGGAGCTGCTGCTGAACGCCACTCCCCGGCGTGGTTCGAACGGTGACGTTGTTGGAGCCGTCTTCGTTGGCCAGGAGTGTGGGCTCAGTGTAGATGCCGGCAAACTAGGATGCCATGCCACCCTTGCTGATGGCAAAAGTGGTGCCAGGACATCACAGAGCTTGGCAGAGCAATGGAAGGGGCGCAACAGGCGATGCTTGCATTCTTTGCAATCATCTCATGCAGCACCAAGCCTAGTGGAGTGGAAGGTCGCCGATGACTTGAAGCGGCTCCTGAACACCGCAAATGCTCCCATCTTCGAGATTGACGTGGAGGGCAAGGCTGGAACATATTGTAAGCTTTCACAACTGAATGTGGTTGCACAATCCCGATGGGAAGGTGATGGAGTGGAACCGGAAGGCTGCCACCATGACTGGCTACTCGAGAGAGGAGGTTCGGCCCCCCCCAACCAGAACTGACGGCACTGACATCAACACTTGACCAACCATGCTCCTGCTCTGGCCTTTACGATTGATTATCACTATGCAGTTGCAGTGTGAGACATAAAAGATTTCGGCAGCAGGGAGTTTTGAATACAGATGTGAAAGATTGTGTTACGCAACTTTTGGCTGCAGCGGATGGTAGACATGGCAAACTGGCCTCGGACAAGCCGCGAGCCCTCGCCGAATGGTCAACAGTAAGCTCGGAATCTAAACCAAATTTGGACCCTAGCGGCGAGAGTGCATTGTGGTATCTGCAAGCACTGATTCTCGCAATATCCTTGATGATGGCAGTCATCACATGCTGCTGAGGATTCAGCCCTGGCAGACTGTTGAGGCTGAGATCAGAGTTGCAATGCTCAGCTTGTGGTGTAGACTGGCAGTTGTAGCACAGGGAAGCTCATGAGCTGAAGATCCCAAGTTGGTGCAAGGTCTCCGGATCATGGGCTTCACATTTTACATCGGTGAGCTGCGGGTGTTCTTCCCGTATGACAGCATATACCCAGAACAGCACCTAGGAAGCAATAGTCACACGAGTCGAGCCGGAGGGTTGCTGTTTGTTCTGCCAGGTACCGGTACATGTGTGAGCTGAAGCGGGCTTTGGATGCCAAAGGAAATGGAGTCCTGGAGATGCCTACTGGAACAGGCTTGGCCGTCTTCTTGAAGATGTATGGTTTCCTCCAAGACAACATTTGAGCTGCCGCATTCATCTAAATATGAGAGCAGAACAGTAGCACGCTCAAGTAGGGAGTAGCCTTTCCCCAGGGACGAGGTAGGTCATTCTTGTGGTTTACGTGCCCAGACGCATACTCCAGCATGACAAACGATGTGGCTGTGTCGTTGTCGGCCCAAGATCACATAATGGCTCAAGAGATGAGGGGCCGCGGATTCAAACTAGCTTTGGTTAGTCAGGGTCTGGGAAAATCTCGGTTATCTTTTGGAGATTCGCGATCAGCCATCCTAGACATCACGAAAGCTCGAGCTGGCTGAACACCGTTGGTGGAGGCAAGACCGTCACCTTGTTCTCCCTGATTACTTCGCCGCTTGTCAACACTGCTTGCTGAGCCTGTGGCATGCTGGGCCTTTCGGAATTCTGGTTCCACTCTCCTCAGAAGTGTAAGCTCGAGGCTAGTTTACTAGTTGTTCCAGGTTCTTCCCGATTTGAGGTACCAGTGGGCACATCCTGAAGTTGGCCGTCTCGTCTACTGCACGCGGACGGTTCCTGAGATGAGTAAGGCACTGGAAGAGCTACGCAAGGCCGGACAACGTAAAAGGAAGCATTCAACACTGCGGGCAGTATGGGTGCTTCAGGTAGCTTGCCTTTATACGACCCCTATACATGGTCACGCGCTTGCTGGCCC